GAGGCTCGACAACTTTAAAATTCTCATCTTGGAAAACCTCATCTCAATAGAGGCTCAACAACTTTAAAAATTCTCATCTGAAAAAGCTCCTCTCAATAGAGGCTCCACAACTTTAAAATTTCTCATCTATTTTCAAATTTGAGTTTTCATCTTTGAACAAGTAAATCTCTCTCTTTTGAATTCCTTTGTTTGATCATTGTCTTTACCAAAATCTTGTTTTTTCATTAAGAAAAGGAAAATTTCTATCTTTGTTACAACTTCTCATGGATGCATGTACTGAGTGCTCATGATGCAATGCATGTAATGCAATCAAAATCATTCATTGTAGTAAAAAGGTTCTCGAAATCTCTCGCTTTCGGCTTCTTTTATCCGAGTTCTTATATGACCAATCTGTCTTCAACATCTGACCATAATATTTTTTCTTCAAAAGTCTACAACATCAATGACTTGTCATGCTTTTCTCATCCTTTTTCATTTGCCTTTGTCAACTTTAAAAGTAATGCTGAGATCTTTCATGTTTGTTTTTCTTTTCATCATTTTAAGTTCAAGACAAATAAAATGCAATCACATTTCTCTGATGGACAAAAATATCAGATAAGGATAAAGGAAAGGATAGGCATTATTTTCAAATGAAGGATAATGTATTTCCTATGGCTGATAACAAGTGTATGTCAAAGTGTTTGAGTTGAAATAAAGGTGTCAAAAGAATGATCACAAGATAATCATGAACAAAATATTCTCAGATTCTTTCTCTAAAACTAAATCAGATGACTTTCTTGATTATTCAGAGTTCTTCAAACTACACTTGCCCCTGCATTGTGGGATCTTTTCTTGATGATGCTTTTGCTTCACATCTAAGCTGTCTTTTCAGGTTTTCAACTTAGATAAGTCATCATTTTTTTCTCTCTTTTTTTTTAAGCAAAATATTTCTTCACAACATCTGAATTTATTGGGGTAGGTAAATCACCTCCATCTATTTCTGCCAAAATCAATGCCTCATCAGAAAAAACCTTTTTCACCACATACGGGCCTTCCCAATTTGGTGTCCATTTCCCCCGATTATCATGTTGATTTGGAAGGAATCTTTTTAACACTAAGTCTCCTTCCCTAAAGCAACGGGGATGAGTTTTCTTGTCATGTGCTCTCATCATCCTCTTTTGATATAATTGACCATGACAAAGTGCTAACAGTCTTTTCTCTTCTATGAGGTTTAACTGCTCGTAGCGATTTCGAACCCATTCTGCTTCCTCTAACTCTACCTCCATCAGGACTCTCAGTGAGGGAATTTCCACTTCGACTGGTAGCACAGCTTCCATACCATATACCAAAGAGAACGGTGTGGCTCCAGTAGACGTTCTGACTGATGTTCTATAAGCATGCAAGGCAAAAGGTAACTTCTCATGCCAATCTTTGTAAGTTTCAGTCATTTTCTCCAGGATTCTCTTGATATTCTTATTTGCAGCCTCCACTGCCCCATTCATTTTTAGACGATATGGTGCCGAATTGCGATGGCGAATCTTGAACTGAGTGCATACTTCATTCATCATTTTGTTGTTCAAGTTTTTGGTATTATCAGAAATAATTGTCTCCGAAAGCCCATATCTGCATATTATCTCTCTTTTTATGAACTTACATACCACAGATCGGGTCACGCTAGCATATGATGCAGCCTCTACCCATTTGGTGAAGTAATCAATCATCACAAAAATGAATCTATGCCCGTTCAAAGCTTTTGGAGTGATGGGACCAATGACATCCATACCCCACATTGAGAATGGCCAGGGAGGAGCTAGAACGTGTAATGTTGATGGTGGAGCATGAATCTTGTCAGCATAAATCTAACATTTATGACATCTCCTAGCATAATCAATACAGTCACTCTCCATTGTCAACCAATAATAGCCAGCCCTCATAATTTTTCTAACCATCATATGACCATTTGCATGTGCCCCACAAACTCCATCATGCACTTCTTCAATAATCTTCTTTGCTTCAGCTGCATTTACACATCTTAAGAGCACTTGATCTCGACCTCTTTTGTAAAGGATATCTCCATTAATGAAAAAACTCATAGCCAATCTTCTGATAGTCCTCTTATCATTTTCAGTTGCATGTTTTAGGTATTACTGGCTTTTAATGTATTACATGATATCATGATACCATGGCTTCCCATCAACTTCTTTTTCAACACCTGAGCAATGTGCTGGTACATCTTTCACATCCAGCTTGATGGGTTGGATTTCAGTACTTGCATCTATTTTGATCATTGCAGCTAGAGTAGCCAGTGCATCAGCAATTTGGTTTTCCTCTCTAGGTAGATGCTCAAACTGAACTTCTTTAAATTGCTTAACCAACTCAGAGATGTATTTATGGTACGAATCAACTTAGAGTCTCTTGTTTCCCATTCACCTCGTAACTGATAGATGACTAAAGCTGAATCTCAAACACATCTAACACTTTGATCTTCTTTTCAATTGCTGCTTGTAGACCCATAACACAGGCCTCATATTCAGCCACATTGTTTGTGCAATTAAAATTTAATCTGGCTGTGATGGGGTAATAATGTCCATCAGAGATATCAAAATTGCCCCAATACCATGACCCAAAGCATTAGCAGCTCCATCAAAATACATCCTCCATGATTTTTCAACAGGTTCATTTTCTTCAATGGCCATCACATCCTCATCAGGAAAATCTAATTTCATTGGCTCATAATCTTCAACTGCACGATTAGCTAGAAATTCAGCTATTGCACTCCCTTTAATAGCTTTTGGAGTCACGTAAATGATATCATATTCTGAAAGCATAACTTGCCACCGTGCTATTCTTCCTATCAATGAGGGCTTTTCGAAGATATACTTAATAGGATCCAGCTTTGCTATGAGCCAAGTAGTGTGATAAAGCATGTATTGTCTAAGCCTTCGAGCTGTCCAGGTTAATGCACAACACATCTTCTCTAATGGTGAATACTTTGACTCATAATCAGTGAACTTCTTGCTCAAGTAGTAAATTGCTCGTTCTTTCTTATCAGTTTCATCTTTTTGCCCTAGCACACATCCCATTGAATTTTCATGCACTGTCAAGTACAAAATCAAAGGTTTTCCTGGCATTGGTGGCACTAACACAAGTGGATTTGACAAGTATTCTTTGATCTTTCAAAAGCTTCTTGGCATTCATCATTCCATTCTCCAGGATCATGTTTTTATGAGAAGCTTGAAAATAGGATCACACTTATAAGTGAGTTGAGAGATGAAGCGAGCAATATAATTTAATCTCCCTAAGAAGCCTCGCACTTCTTTTGAGGTATGAGGAGGGGATAAGTTTTGGATGGCTTGCATCTTATCTGGATCAACTTCAATTTCTTTTTCACTGACTATAAAGCCTAATAGTTTTCCTGATTTGGCTTCAAATGTACATTTGGTAGGATTCAACTTCAACTGAAATCTTCTCAACCTGTCGAACAGTTTTTTGAGACTGACTATATGATCCTCTCCTTCACGAGATTTTGCAATCATATCATCTACATACACTTCTATCTCTTTATGCATCATGTCATGAAAAAGAGTCACCATTGCTCTTTGATAAGTAGCACCAGCATTTTTTAACCTAAAAGGCATGACTTTGTAATAGAATTTTCCCCACATGGTCACAAATGTAGTTTTCTCCATATCATCTCGACCCATCTTGATTTGATTATAGCCTGAGAAACCATCCATAAAGGAAAATGTAGAGTGCCTAGCAATATTATCCACTAGAGTATCGATGTGAGGTAAAGGAAAGTTATCCTTAGGGCTTGCTCTATTCAAATCTCGATAATCGACACACATTCTCACTTTTCCATCCTTCTTAGGAACTGGCACTATGTTGGCTACCCATTCAGGATATTTTGCCACTTCCAAAAATCTGGCACCGAATTGTTTCTTCACTTTCTCTTTAATTTTTAACAGCATTTCTGGTTTCATGCGCCTTAGCTTTTGCTGCATCGGCTTATATCCTGGTTTTAAAGGTAACTTGTGCTCTACAATATCAGTGCTGAGTTCTGGCATATCCTAGTAAGTCCATGCAAACACATCTATATATTCTCAGAGCAGCTCTTTTAGCTCCTATCTTTCAGTTGATAAAAGAGATGTACCAACTTTGACCTCTCTTTTATTCTCACCATCTCCCAAAATTACTGATTCAGTAATTTCTTGGTGGGGTTCAATTGGCTTATCTTCATGTTCTATTAATTTTAACAAATCAAGAGGCAGTGTATAGTTATCTGAATCTTCCTCATTATCAAGTTCATCAACATGAATTAAGTTTTCAAAATCAAATCCGAGATTAATGCCATGATTATCCTCATGTTCATTATTTGAGACCCTGCAAAGGGTAATATGGAGAGAATATTGGCACACAAAAATGGAATGGGAAGAAAATGTAGGAAAAAAAGGATGAAAGGTAAAATGAAGATAAAAACAACAGAAAAAATAGGGATGCATCTTCTAAGTCTTTTATTAAAATGACAAACATAAACACACCATAAAAGATCTCCTAATACTCGTAGAATGTAATTAGGGATTTAAAGTTTCACATTACTTTTCCAAAGTTTTAAAAACAACAGGCAGCTCTGTAACTTCCCAATTATCCAGCTTAAAATCTAAAGGACAAGGGTACACGAATAGATCTTCACTTCGACTCTTCTTTTCTCCATCATCTACCATTTGAATGGCCAGCTCTGAAAATTTTTCCACGAATCCTGCACTTGGGGCTCTTGGTAAATCTGGATAAATATATCCTCCCGAGTGAAAAAAATTATAGAGGTATGGAATGACTATCGGCTTTGACTCTAGCTCATATCCCTTAAGATTAGCTATCCTCTTATCTCTTTTCTCATTCACCATTCTTACTCTGTCCCCTCTTGTTGGCTTATATCCCAAGCCAAACTTGTCTCTCTTTTCAGATCTGGCCGATGGCTTCGTGATTCCTTGCAGGTTCTTCCCAAGTCTGACTTCAGGTCATCATCCCATCTTGGTAAGCTGTCTGACTACCATTTTAGTAGTCGTAGATAAGTGTGGCGAATACAATTTAGATCCTCCAGCTATATATATTGCATTGGAAATCTTGAAAGATCTATAAGAGCATTCTAAAGCTTCATCTGCCAATTTCACATAAGGAGTATTTATCGGTTGAGTTACCAATAAATCTTCTTCTTTTGCCACACATGTTAGCTTTCCTTTAACAATGAATTTGACTTTTTGACGTAATGAGGATGGGATAGCACCTGCCATATGGATCCACGGTCTACCCAATAGACAACTATATGAAAGAGAGATGTCCATGACTTGAAATTTCACGTTGAAAGTACATGGACCAATCTACAATGGCACTTTTATATCTCCCAGCACTTCTCTTCTGGTTCTATCAAAGGCTCTCACTATCATATGACTAGGTTTCATATAAGATCCATTAACAGGGAGTTTTGCCAGAGTAGTTGCAGGCATAACATTGATGGATGAGCCATTATCAATCAAAACCTTAGCCATTATATGACTTTTACATTTCACAGTAATGTGAAGAGCCCTGGTACTTCCTCTACCCTCAGGAGAAATTTTTTCATCATTGAAAAAAATATAGTTTGAAATTGTCAGATTGCTCACAAGCTGTTCCACATATTCAACAAAAGCATTGTGAGACATATATGCTTGATTTAGCACTTTCAGCAAAGCATTACGGTGTGACTCTGAATTGAGCAATAATGACAATAGCAAAATTCTAGCTGGCATCTTGTTAAGCTGTTCTACCACGCTATACTCACTATGTTTTATTAACTTCAAAAATTCACCTACTTCACTCTCAGATACTGGCTTCTGACATTCTTTTTTTGGTGTTGCATCAAGATCACTCTGACTTTTATTTTCTTCCCCTATCTTGGCTTTCTCCTTTCTAGCTTTTTCTAGAGCCTCTAGGGTATAGCACCTGCCACTTCGGGTTATGCCTCCTACACCCGTTATGTTGGCAGTATCTGGGTTAACTACGACATCATAATTGTACTTCCAAGGTACTGCTTTATCATTCTGATATGGAAAAGGGCCAGGAACTTTAATTGTCACCACTGGTCGAGAGACAGGTTTTTCTAGCTTCGATGTTGGCTTCTCATCATAATAGATAGTTACTGGTCTATGCCCAAACTTATTCTTTGAATCAATGGTAGACACTTTCACCAACTCTTCTCTCTCTTGGTAAAACTCTATTCGACCTTCATCCATCAATTTTTACACCTCTTGACGAAATTGGGTACAATTCTCGATAAAATGGCCCAGAGCACCTTTGTGATAATGGCAGCTTTCAGTTGAGTTAACCGCTTCACAGTAATTTTGAGGTTCTATCGACTTTAGCATGTCAACTTTGACCAAGGTTTCAAACACTTTAGCTATTGGAGTTTTGACCTCTTCTATTCTTCTTTTCACACAACTTGTTTGCCCATCAATCAAAGCATTTATTGATGGTCTGGTATGATTTGGTAGAGGGTTCCCATTGATATTTGGAGTCCCCTGTTGGTTGGTATCAAAATTTAATACTCCTTTAGTGATTAACCCCTGCACTTTATGCTTCAAAATAGTACAATGCTTATGGAATGACCTGGATTCCCATAATGATAATCACAATGTGCATTAGGGTCATACCATTTGGGAAACGGAGGTTTCAAAGGTTCAATAATAACAGGAGCAAGCAGATGTTTCTCAACAAGTCGAGGATACAAATCTATGTATGTCATGGGAATTGGGTTAAAATGAGGTCTTTCTCGATTGTTATTATTCTGTGAGTTTCTTTGATTGCTGTTTGGGTAGGTTGGTCGAGTAAATGGTCGAGCTGGAGGTACCGGGGTGTAATTGGATGGTTGAGGGCTAAAACTTGATCTGGGTAACGGTTGTTGGGGGGCTCGATAATGGTATGGTTATTGAGAGATTTGGTTTATGGTAGAGTAGTAATGGGGTGTGGGTTATATGAAACAAAAAGATGGTGTGGGGGATTTGTGTGAGTGACAACATGTGTCTTCTGCTCTTTCTTCCTTAAGGTAGCTATCTTCTTTTCAGACCCTTCAATTTTACCACTTTTGATAGCGTTTTCTATCATCTCCCCTGAAATTACCATGTCAGAGAAGTTTTTCGTGGCATTTCCCACCAATCTGTCATAATACGAGGCTTTCAGTGTATTGACGAATAGCACGGTTATCTCTTTTTCAGTCAGTGGTGGTTGTACTTGGGCTGCTGCATCTCTCCACTAATGTGCATATTCTTTGAAGGTTTCCGTCGACTTTTTCTCCATATTTTGTAATGACAGTCTATCAGGGGCTGTATCCAAGACGTGCTTATACTGAGCAAGAAAAACTTTGGCCAAGTTTTTCCATGAACTGATCTTATTTTGATCTAATTACCGTACCATTTAGCTGCTGAACCAGTCAAACTATCCTGAAAATAGTGTATCAATAGTTTGTCATTATGGGTATGACTCGTCATCTTTCTACAAAACATGGTGATATGAGCAGATGGACACTTTGTCCCATCGTATTTCTCGAAATCTGGGGTCTTAAATTTTGGTGGGATAACCAAGTCAGGCACTAGGCTAAGCTCGTTGGCATCAATAACCCCATAAGTGTCATTACCTTCAACCGCTTTAAGCTTCTCTTCAAGTTGGTCATACTTGTCTTGAATTTTTGAATTTATAACAGGTTCTGACATTTCGTGAGATTGCTCTTACTCAACAGGGTTGTCAAGATTTGGTACCATGATGGGATCGATTGGGATGGGTCCTGAAATGGCATTCAAGTGGGTCGGCTACTGATTTGCAGAATGATTGACATAGGGGTATGGCTGCGCACTTGGTGGTTGTATGTGTATACCCCGAGGAACTTGAACCTGAACTTGAGGTGGAGTGAATCCAGGAGGGTATAATGGCTCTTCCATATTAACCTCATCTCCTATCCTTGATACACCAGCGACTCATTTTCCTTTCATTGATCCAATCAATAGTTGTCTTAATTTAGCCATTTGTGCTTCAATTCTTTGTTGTATTTCCATCACTCTTTCTTGTATCTCCTCCTGTACTCTTTCGACCCTTTCAAACCTAGCTGTATTCTCTTCTTCCATGGCTCAAGTCTGGGAACGAGTATTATATCTATGCTAAATTGACGAGTTATGGTTCTTTGGCTTTGCTACCTTGAACCTTAGTTTATTAACCATGAATTAGATCGCATGATATAATGTCGTTGATATTATTGTTAGTATGAAAATGCATGCATGAAATGAATGAAATGCAAATTAGGGTATTGTCTTAGATCGATTGAAACAAAAAGAAATTTTCATTAACCATGGGAGTCTTTACACATCATCCAATCATTCTCGCATTAAAGCCATAAAAACATTTGATTTGAGCATATTGCTCCCTAGCTTCATGCAAAAAGTGCAATAATCTTTGATTGTGGCCTTTGGTTGGTACAATCTCTTGTTCCAGTGCTTTCGCCTTTTCAACCATGTTGCCTGCTTTTCGGACAGCCTTGTAGATTTGAGCAGTCAGGTGTTCGATGTATTACTGTCTCCCTAAACTTTCTGCTCTCCACATCTCTCGAGCATCTACCTCTATATTACAAGTGCGAGCCCAATAATCTTCTCTATCTTGCCACTCAGTCAAAATCTCATTTATGTGCCTCTGATTGCTTGTCAATTGAAGCTCCAAACTCATTAATTCATGCTGTAAGGCTTTTTTCTTGCTTTGCAAATCGGAGTTCTTGCTTTGTTCCCTCATTAGTTCAGCTTTTCTTGTTACCTTTTCTTCATTCTTTAGTCATAAACTCCTTGATAGGACTGAAATGCACGGAGAATGGTCGAAATGATGTCTTTTCTTTTCCCCAAAAATGGCTTTTGAGCCAAACAAAAAGTAACTGAGCACACCCCATAAATCGTCCTTTACCCTTTCTTCGACAAAAATTAAGTGATCTAATAGTTTCTGCCAAAATAGTTGGTGAAAGGTTTATACCTTTATCTAATTGCTCAAAGAAATCAACCACTGATGCTTTTATATGTCCTAAAACCTTAGGAAATATCATCAATCTATAGATGGCCAAAGCAAACACATGCAACCCCTGATCGGTATCAATATACTTTCTTATGTACTCAAGAAGAAAAGCTGATGGAATGGTCTCAACCCCATTTTTTTCTTTCTTGTGCTTGTCTATCTCTTCAACCTCCATTTGCATGATCTTGGCTAATTTTTTTTCTATATCCAGTGGTCTTATGCTCTTTCCAATAGATCTTGTCTTGATTGGTAGACTCTATCCGAAGTAAAGAAGAATATTCTTCGATCGTGGGAGCCAAGTCTTCTTGGTTGAATACAAAGCATCGATAAGATAGATCCCAGAACTGTATTGCGGCTCTCATTAGCTTTTCATCAACCTTCACAGACATAAGCAGTGCCACATCCCCGTATTTCTTGGAAAAAAATTCTTTTTTCTCTGTTCTCCACTATTTCCAAATGGCTTCCAATTATGATATATTATCCTGACCAAGATCCATATGCACTGACTGTGGTAGCACTGATATATGACCATCTACTAAGCAATCTCCTTCTTTCCCTTGAGTACCTTCTGAATGGCTCTTAACCTTTAAGTAGCTCTCACACACAGACGACATCCTTTAGGTTTTTTTGAAAGTTTTTTTTTTGTTGAAGATTGGTCCAAAACAATACCCTCTAAAAATATGGTACCTATATGATGCATGCAACAAAATTGAAGACAATAAAACAAATCAAGAATGTAAATAAAACAAATAAATAAAACTGAGTAAATGAATGAACAAGCATATCAGAATATACGTAATGTCCTAATTTAGATAATTTTCTCGTAAAAGGGATAGTATGGCTCTATCCTAAAGTTGGACTTCAGGGTTCACTATATCCCGGGTTAAGATTTACATGTCTAAAGGTTCCCAGACTATTCCTCACATCATCGTCCATTATAGACTAGTAAGGCTCCCCGATCCTCACCCATTACAGGCTACTAACGGAACGGGTTCAATCTGAGTGGAAGTGTTTCACTAGAAAATGTGGAGGTTATCACCTCATGAGAGCGTAGCTACTTCACTTCCTCCTAAAAGGATGGAGCCCGGGTATAGAGCTCATGTATGCGAGTGAATATACAAAGAGTGTGCAAGGTAATGTATTAATCAAAATAACATGAATAAATCAAAAACAAAATCAAAATGAAGTAATAACTAGCACATAATTTATTTCATTTATTAACATGATTGTTTTTAGAAAATTAAAATAAAAGAAATTAAATTAAATATCAAATAAAATCAATTAAATCCAACTGTTGTCAATAGTGCATAATTTAAATTTTGGCCTGACTCTCAAATAATTCCCCAGTGGAGTCACCAAGCTGTTGTAACAGTTTTGGGACCGTCAGACGTAAAAATGAGTTTAAAATCGAGAAAAATAAAAAAGAGGGAGTCGCCACCAATCTTTGTTAGGGTGTGATTGGCCACCCAAAAGTTTATCTTTTTAATAAAACTATAAAAACGAGTTTGAAGTCTTATCAAAAAGATAAATTTCGGTCTGCGAAAAATCAGGTTGGGTCTGGGAGTCGGTTACACGTGGGGAAGGATTAGCACCCCCACAACGCCCATAAATTGGTACCATTTAATTATGTGCTATTTTCGACATTGGATAAAACTGGTTTTAATTTGAAATTTAACATTAATTCCCTTCATTTAAAAAAAATTTGCTAAAATATTTATTTAGAAATATTGAGAAAATCTTTAAGTTAAATAATTATCTTAAAATTCTCCATCGTCTAGGCAAAATTTAAAATAACTCTTTTCGCCTAAGATTTAACACAATAATCATTAAAATAAAATAACAATCTTTATAGGAAATAATTGTTAGTGACTCTCCAACATCTAGGCAGAGTACCAAGAATTATTTCTCACGGAATGTTATTTTTTTATTTTATAATATCATAAAAAGATTTTTTTTTTAGTATTATTCTTTTTTTATTAAAAAATATTTTATCAGTAAATTAAAGAGAGAGTATTACAATCAATTATTGATGATAACATGCTAACGTATATCATGCTAATGAATGTCATGTAAAATGAAATGCAATTTAAGAGTTGGATTCTTAAATATAATGAGACCACCCCGACTCTCCAACATCTAGGCAGAGCTTAGGTGCGACTGTTTATATTTAAGATCCCAATTTTATTATACTTTTTATTTATTAATCTTATTATTAATACAAATTAAGAAATCGTGCAAAAAGACTTCACGAAGTAAAATTTCTTAAATACCCCATCATCTAGGCAGCATTCGAGAACAAATTGCTTCAAATAGAATTTTCACACGTGTCCTTAGGATTTTTTTAGGACTTTGGATTTCAAGGATTTTGGATTTCGGGGGGTTTTGGATTTAATGGATTTTGGATTTTTAGGGGTTTTAGAATCCTAGGATTAAGAAATAGTGCTTAAGGTTTCATTTTTTTAAGAAAATACGAACATCTCTAAAAATCCCCAACATTTAGGCGGATTTTTTAAGCAAGTTCGATTTTAATAATTTTTGAAGATTAATTAAAAATTTCTTATGTTTATTTATGAAAAATAATTAACAATAATTCCCCAACATCTAGGCGAAATTATTGCTTTAGAAAAATATTTTTATTCCTTCCAACATCTAGGCAGGGAAGATTATTATTATTTTTTTTAAAAGCATTTTAATATATTTTTTATTATTATTTGTTCTTAATTTTATTATTATTAAAAGGATTAAACATTTATTCTAACAAATTTATAAATTTATCATGCATAAATATAAAAATATATTTAAAATAACAAAAAATAATAATAATAATAAATTAGAAAATTCAAAAAAAAAAATTTTTTTTACCTGAACCGGACGGATCAACGATCCGGTCAATGCTGGTCCGGGCGATCAAACCGGTTCGGCGGTTGGATCGGCGGTTCGGGTGATCTGACCGGTTTGGCGGTCGGATCGGCGGTCCGGACAATCTGACCAGTTCAATCCGGTCCACTGGCAGTTCGTATGAACCGGTTCAAGGCTGGCTGGAACGGGTCGTTGGGTTGGGTTACGTGGATCTCGGGTCAGGTTCGGGTCAACGCGCGGATCCTTCTTTGGTTAAAACGACGTTGTTTTGGGTTTTATTGAAACGACGTCGTTTTGGCTATTGATAATTTATATAAAAGTCAAAAAAAATCTTTTCCTCATTTTTTTTAATCTTTCAAAAAAAAAATAGCTTTCTCTCTTTTTTTTTTCCGTTTCCTTTTTTTTCTCTCCGGCCAACACAGGTGGTCGGTTGATCCTCCGCCGCTGCTGCCGCCGGTCGGCGGTCGCCGTTGACGGTGGTCGAAAAATTCTTCGAAAACACCAAAATGTTCCCCTCAACCTCCTGAGTCCGGATCTGAGGTCCGTTTCACCAAAAACAACCTTGATTCGCGTAGATCAAGTTTTGAAGTTTTCAATTTTTCTTCCCTTTCTTTTTTTTTTTTTGGCGAAACTAACGATTTCTTGGCTTTTGCAGATGGCTCGGTGCTGAGGTTCTTCACCGTAGGCGAGGACTGTGTATTTTTTTATTTTTGTTTCTGTTTTCATTTTTTTTTGTTTTGGTTTTTTTTTTTTTTACGTCGAAAATGGGGTCTGTCTGAGGGTGTTGAAGGGGAAGAATGGTTTTTTT